ACGACTGTTGCAGGCTGGAGAGGAAGTGACTCACGCCTCCCCCTCCCCTCACACAGGGCAACTCTGGAAAAGCTTTCCCTCCCCACTCACGCCCCTACTCGGGGCGCCCCATCCCACCTAGCCTGGCCCTCATGTGAGGAGGGCTCCTCTTGGATTTCCCAGTTGGCATCACGCAAACCAACGTAGAGAACCAAGGCAAAGAATCACCTTCAGCAGCACAGAGTGGAAGAAAGGAGTCTGTGGCCAGTGGTGTCAGGGACCTGAACGCTTCCAACCCTCAGGCTCTTCTCTCTCCAGGTTTCTGGCCCCCTTCGGTGACCTCCAGAAGCCAAGCCACTCTGGCCCCTGGAGCGCCTTGGACCTTTCCCCATCATCCCTCGTCCTGCGCGGTGTTGGACTGTCCCTGGCAGTCTGTGAGCAAAGGGCATGTAAGCCAGCTGGCCTGGATGAGCACAGGATCCAGCGTGCAGCAAGCACTCAATCATGAAAATGCTTATGGCGCCAACAGATGAATATGGATGGTGTAGGTTTCCACTTCCTGTTTCCAGGTAATGCTCTGCCTCATTTGCTCTGAAGTCACACAGGACCAAAGATAAGAAGTGGGCCTGTTTGCTGCTTGGACACCAGCAGACACATCATCCTCTTGGTGAGTCTTTTTCCAATGAAGGTTAGAACAAAATTTCATTCTAGAAGATTCCTCAGCTGAAGTGCTGTGACGCTAGAGCGTAGGGAGGATGCTTGAAAAGCTAAAACTCAGGGACAAGTTGCTTTCTTATTTCTAGGTTATACCGATCAGCTCTGAGGAGTTGTTGATAGCCATCTGAGAGGGCTCATCCTGCCCACATCCAGGAGACTGTGCCCAGTCTGGTAGTGGCAGGAAGCAGAGGGCAGAGCTGGGCCCCCGATACAAACAGTTTTCCACCAGTGCCTGCTCTCCAGGGGCGAGACTCCCAGTGGCATGGCCATGACACCAGCACAGGTGTCTCCCCAGCCTCAGGGATGAGGGAGACAGCTGGCTCTCCCCCAGCCGGGAGAAGACGTAGTCTTAACATCCGCCTTGGTAGTTTTCCAAGGTTGGCTCTTGTTAGTTTATCAAATACAAAGTCTTCACAGCAGCCCTGGGAGCCTGGCTGGCTGGGAGGTACCATTCCCATTTAATTGATGAGAAATCCGGTCAAGGATCCATCCATTATGGCTGACCACCTTCCGCGCTCCCAGCCTACTTTCTTAAAAAGAGGGTAGACATGTTTGAAAGGTCAGCCAGCAGCACGGAAGGCCTATGTGGGGCAGGAGGGAGAGGGGATATCTAGCTTCCCTAGCCTGGCTAGCCAGGGGTCTTTTACACTCTCTGGCCCTAAGCAGCACCTTGTCAGGAGCCATGGGGCAGGAAAGCAGCTCTGTAGCCCCAAGCTTCCGAGGTTGCTGCTATCCACCTGCCAGTCCACTTCTCAAAGAACCGTGGGGCCACTTTGATGGAAGAGAGACAGAGGAGGAGGGAGGGAGGGTGGAAGGAAGGAAGGCAGAAAGAGAAAAGAGGATAAAGAAAGCGAGGGAGGAAGAAGAAAGAAGGAAGGAAGGAGGAAAGAAGAAGGGGAAGAGAGAGGGAAGGGGAGAAAGAGAGGGAAAGAAGAAAGAACGAGCAAGCCAGCCCTTTGTGATAGAAGTCAATTCTCTGGAAAAGATCTCAAGGGGACATTGCCTGTCAAATAATTTCAAAGAAATGACATTTTGACAACCAGCAAAGGAGGCTTCCCTCCCTCCCACTTCCTGCCATCCGTCCACTTCCTGCCATCCATCTCCATTTCTCACTTTTCAATCCGTTCCTCCCACCCTCTGTTCATTCCTCTGGCAAACAGGGTCCCTCCTGTACTCCCTTCTGCCCTCCTCCAGGGTCAGCTGAAGGTTGCCCTCTTGCTGATGCTACATTAGGAAATCATTGAAACCCAGATCTTGGATTGTTCCAAATTCCTCTATGCCTCCCCAGTGACCCAGCTCCGGACATGACTCCACTGGAAGTCAGTGCAGAGAATGGCAGTCAGTCTGGCCAGGGGACAGCAGTGGGCCCCTGAGCTGCTTCCCTTCAGCCCCCACTCCTGAAGCCCCCACCCCAGACTGCACCAACTCATGCATTACTCTGGAGGGGGTAGCTTCGCCTCTCGGAGCCTTCGTTTGCTCATTTGAGGCAATGTGCATTGGGAACGCTTCTGGTTCTGTGGTTCCAGCCCCCACTGCCGGTGGACGGGCACACACAGGCCTACGCTGGTGTGAACGGCTAAGGCGCTGTGTGCACGTGGACGTCACAATGCAGGACTGGCCCTGAGATGCAGCTCGGCCGAGCCTGCCAAGGTCTCCCAGCAGGACAGGCAGGGATAGGGGGCGGGAGTATCCACCCCGGGCAGGGAAGAGCACAGGAGATAGTGAGCCCGGCGGGCACACCGATCGAGATCACGCTTCCAGCCTCCATTCCCCTGTGTCTGGTGGTAAAGCACATCTGAAGTCAAGCAGATTCACGGCCTCTCCTTTTAAGGTAACAGAGATGAGACAGTGGCAGGGTCGCGCGGCGGAGTCATGGGTCTCCGGGGCCTTGCTCATCCCTCAGCAGCTCCATGCGGACAGCTTCCCAGCATCCCACAGCCAAAGATACCAAAGTGTTCTTTCGTAGCTAAGTGCTCGTTCTGTGCTGTCTGCTTCCCGGAGACCTCCATATGTCACCCATCTGACCTCACAACCTTTCCTCGAGGAAAGGGCTTACCACTGTCATTGCACAAATAAGGAAAGCAGGGCTCAGAAGCATTAAGGGCTTTGTCTAAAGGTACACAGCAAATGAATGGCATGGCTGGGACTCAAATCTGGCACTGAGATGCCCAAATCCACTGTGCCACGGCTCTGTCATTGCTTAAGGCCCGCGTGAGTGGACAAACAATAACAATAACAGTAACTACAACAATGGCACTTGCTACCTTCAGGAACCATGCCAAACACTTAACGGGTGCCATCCCGTCTAATCCCTCCCCCTCTGTCCCCATAAGAAGGGGAAATTAGTGTCTAAGTGGTAGAGTCAGGGTTCAAGCCCGGATATGTAAAAAATTTCAGTTGAGGGAGAATGAGGACCGGAGCTTTGTGCCAGCAGGGAGGAAGCCTGCCTTCCAGAGGGAGAGCGAGGTTCTGAAGGTGCCTCAGCCAGGCTGAGGCAGGGTTGGGGCAGTGCAGGACGGAGCAGGTGACTTTCTTTCAACATGTCAAGAGGTTTATACTTCCTCTAATCTCTTATCAGTCCCAAGTAGTATGGAGTGAATGTGTTATTGTGTTGTGTGTGTGTGTGTGTGTGTGTGTGTGTTTGTTTGTATAGCGTTACTTGACAAAACAGGCCTGGGGGAAGTAAATCCTTAACCTCCTTCCTCTGGCAGGCCTCTGCCTCTTGTCTTCCTTCCTCAAGGCTCTGAGGGCCCAACTCTGGCCCACACTCCTTAGCTCTGACTGCTCCTAAGCCTGTGAAAGCAGGGGCGTGTTCGCAGGTCCATCACCATATCCCCAGGGGCCCCCACAGTGCCTGGCACATAGTAGCCACAGGTGCTATATTTGTCCAATGAATGAATTGCTCTCTAATGGCCTCATCTGACTCAATCACCCTTAACAGGGTACCTGTTAGGTGTCAGGCACTGTTGTTTTAAGGCGAGTGAACAAGGGACCAGCCTGAAGAAGTCTCAGTGAGAGCGGGGGCACCATAAAACTGTCAGTGCCCCGCTTAAATCCTTTTTAGAATCATGTGGAGAATGAATGAATAACAGCGTATCAGGGTCACAGAAATGGGAACCACTGAGGTGCCTGGGGAGTCAGAGAAGGCTTTGCTGATGGAGGGTGTGGTATTACCTCAGGCTTGAAGGATGAGGAGTTTGCCTTAAAGACAAGCTGGGAGAAGAACCCTCCACACAGAGGTACCAGTACGAGCGAGGGCATGAGGCTGTAAAATTACTGCTTGGGGCCGGAGCAAGCGACTAAAGATGCCCCTTTGAGACCAGGCAGCGTATCATGGATGGGTGACCTTCCAGAAGGATTCAAACAGCGAATCCTAATGAACTGAAGAAAGAAAATGAGCCTGAGGTTGGCATTATAATTAATAGGTTCATCCTATGGGGCTTCGTATAGATTCGTTCTCAGGTAGCAACAGAACATGATTAAGCACCTCGGAAGTGCATTGGCACCGGAAACCTAGGACCCAGGTGCTAATCATCCCAGGTTTTGACTGTCCGGAAGGAGTGTGGGTCTCAGCCAGCATTTACATCACCGGCAGGTCAAGTGCCCAGAGTGTCTCCTGGCACAGAGCCGAGCCTCCCAGCTCTGTGCCACAGGACACAGCCTCTCTCCTCCTGGCCGGGTAGCTAGTTAGCCTCCCTGCCTATCTATACCCTGCCCCCAGAATGAGGGACACGAGGCTGGAGGGGGGGCGCATAGGAAGAAGGGGGCTGCAGCAAACCCGCTGACTCATCCGCAACAAGGTGCTGCTGCAGGCGCAGCCGGGGAGGCCCCAGGCTCCAGTGCTTGCCCCTGCTCTCAGCCCATTTCCTGCTCAGATTTGGGAATTTTCAGGCCTGGAGGGAAAGTCCCTCGAGATGAATATTAGAAAGAGCGAGCGAGAGCGAGAGAACACCGGATCTGCCTGGAGAGCACGGAAGGAAAGGCGCGGCTGGGTCCGAAGCGGGCGCGCGGAAGGGAGAGAGGCGGTGGAGCCCGAGTTCCTTTGCTGAAGGCTCCGGAGCCTTGCACAGAAAGCAGGGCGACTGGGAGGACCACGGGGAAGACCAGCCCGAGGGGCGGGGGAGGGGAGGCGGTTCAGTAGGGCTCTGGAGTGTGTGTCTGGGTCTGTGTCTGTGTCAGTGCGCGCGCGCGCGCGCGTGCGTGTGTGTGTGTGTGTGTGTATGTGTGTGTGTGTCTGGCGCCTGTCCAAGGTGATTTCCCATAAACCACATGCCCCACAAGCGCTCTTAAAAGGCTGTGCCGAGGAGCTGGCCAGTGGAGACCGGCTGGTGGAAAGTGAAAGTTGCCTGGGTGCTCTCGGCGCTGCCGCCGGCTCTCCGCACCCCCGGGACGGCAGCGCGGCCCTCGGCTGGGGCGCGGGCTCTGCGGCGGCCAGAGAGCGAGCGAGCGAGGGCGCCGACGCGCCCGGCCGGGACCCAGCTGCCCGTATGACCGCGCGGGGCGCCGCCGGGCGCTGCCCTCCCACGGTAAGCGGCCGCCGCGGGCCGGCGGGGGGCCAGCGGGGCTCGGGCGGGAGCGGGCGGCGCGGGGCGGCCCCGCGGGACCTACTGCCCCGGCGCTCCGGCCGCCGCCGCTGCCCCGCCGCCCCGCGGGCTCCGGCGTCCTGCCCATCTTCGCGTGCCGGCTGCCCGGAGTCCCCGGCGCGCTCGGGCTGGGACCCGCGGCGCCTTGCAGCTGTTCCTGCGGCTGCGGTCCTTGCCTGGAAAGGGGAGGCTCCTCACGCCACTGCTCGGAGGCGCACACTGAGCCGCCCGCTGGCAGGGGAGAGGGGTTCGCAGCCGCCCGCAGAGGCTCGGTGCCGGCTCCGCGTCAGCCCCTGCCCCTCTCCCCTCTGGCCTGACCCCGCCAAGAGACCCGCGCGGTGGCTGTGCGCTCCGTTGTGGCGCCCTCCAGGCGGACACCTTCCGCATGGGCCACACGCGGGCTTCCAGGCTCTGCCGGGGAGTGGGCGCTTCTGGGCTGGGAAAGTTCAGAGGTCATCCAGCTCACAGAATTCCAGGGTCTGTGCCCGGGAACCTGCTGGCAGAAGGAAGGAGCCGGGCAAGCCTCTACTTGTCCCAGCATACAAGCAGGAGCTGCTGGGGAACTTGAGTCAAGTCTGTTTTGCAGGGGACCGGACCCCAGAGCTGCCTGGTGCTAGCTCTGAATCTTTTTATTGCAAAATCTGGTTCACTCAGCTGGTGAGCTCCTGGGCTCAGCGGTGGCAGAGGAAGGTGGGAGGTGACAGGAGGTTTTGGTGGTGCAGAGCCCTGGGCGGGCTAGGGGCTGCTCAGGGTTGCATGGGGAGCGACCTGCCCCAACTGCGGGCAGTAGGTGGGGCAGCTCCTAGAAAGTGCAGGGTGGCATTGGTAATGAAGCCGGCGTTCCCCCACCGGGTTTACTTCTGAGGAGCCCTAGAGGAGGATGGAAGGAGAAGCCTGGGAGAGAGAAGCTGACAAATACTTAGAGGGGAACGGAAGGGGTTGCAGGTGGGGTTGAGAGGAAGGGGGAAGAGCAGACCCGCAGGGGAGGGAGAGCCCAACTGAGAGACTGGAGACAGCGTCAGGAGGGGAAATCTTGGGGGGGGGGGGAGCTGATAGGCAACGAGGCAAAGATAAGGGCTGGAGGAAGCCCATGAGAAAAGTAAAGTTGGAGGGAAAAGGAGGCTGGTTTTAGACAGGAGCAGCCCAGGGGTCTGGTCACGCCAAGGTCCCTCCAGGGCCCCTGTTGCTGGGAAGGAGGGGACAGGTGAGGATGGACAGCGGGCTGAGATGCCTCAGGGCCTGCAGGAGAGGTGCATTCGTGGCTGCCCCAGAGGCCAGTGGGTGGGAGGAAGAAGAATGGAGGGGGAGAAGAACCAGCCCCGCTAGATGTGAGCTAGAGTGTTAACCCTTAGGTGTCTATTCAGCTCTTCCTCTGAGGCAAAACTGGGGCCCCAGGGTAGGGTGGACCCCCTCTGGCCACCTTCAAAGTCAGCTTCCCATGTGGTGGCTGCACTCTCCTCCGGGCACCAATCACTGAAATAGCAACAAAAGCCAGGCAGCCCTTGGGGGTTAAGCTGTCCTCAGACTTCAGTATCTTGAATTGCCTGGGGCAAGGTTGTCTTCCTGAATGAATATCCCCTCTCTCATGGGCTCTTCCCTCCATATTGTTGAAAAGTGGGGGTTCAGAGCTGCAGCGGCCGCAGCATGGACACACCTTCCGCATGGCCCAGTTTCCAGTGGGGTCCTGAATTAAAGGTTCTGGAGGACCTGGGCAGCCAACCCACCCAGGGCTACCTCTTTAACTGCCCAACAGAGCCTGAAGCCCACCCCCACCCCCCATGACTATCCTCCACTCTCCCTCCCCCAGGTCAGGCCAGGACCCTCACCAGATCCCTTCCCTGAATGGCACCGGGCCATGATGTGCCTCTTCCCTCCAGGCCTCCCCTTCCCTCTCCCTGCCATCAACTTCTCCCCATTTTTCATGGCCTCACAGAGGCCTCTCCTCCCTGCAGCCTCCTTGGTAGTCCCAGCCAGGGCCTCTCTTCCCTGGTAGGAGCTGACAAACATGTGGGCTTTCAGTTATATGTGAATCAGCATGTTGTCGAGGGCTGCTTCATAGCCTCCTTGTTTTTCCAACGTGCTGTGTATTGGCAGTCTTTGTCTCATCATCTGGATCACTGAGGCAGAGCCCAGAGCCCAGGAAGGTGCCAGCTCTCACCCCACCCTGACAGCATTTCCCTGAATCTGGGGACATCAGCTGCCAGGGGGCAACCTTGAGTTGGGGAAAGAAAGCCCAAGAGTCCCTCTGCCTCTCTGGCTGGAGAATGGGAGACCTGGGCCCTGGAGAGGGTTGAGGGGACCCTGGTTAGGAGGAGGGAGGAAAGAAGGAAGGGGAACGATGGGGCGTCAGGGATCAGTCCCATCACTGGGGGTGAGTGGCTCCTGGGCCAGGTGGGAGCTGGAGGAGGGAGAGGTCTCAGCAAACTTCCTGGCCGTGATAAGTGCTGGCTGGCTGGATGCAGACGGAGCCTGAGGGAGCTCTGAGAGGCAGATGCCAGCCTGGGATGGCCTAGAGCTGGCACCGCTGCCTCTGATTAAACAGTTGGGCTCCTTTTTGACACACACACCCAGGGCTCCAAAAGGTCTCCAGTGTGGGAGAGGTTCCCAGTGAAACTGAGTTTGGGGCCCTGGTTTTTCCGGTAGCAGAGCCAGACCTGTGTGGAATCAGGTGGGAGGAAGGGCTGGGCCTAGGGAAAACGTCTCTGGCTTGAAGTCTGAAAGCGGGTGCTTGAACATGAGCTGGAGAGGAGTGGGCAGCCCACAAGGTGTCTGGCTCCGTGTTTGAGGTTGCAGGGACACAGCAGTGGGCTGATGCAAGTCCCACGCTCAAGGGGTTTCCTGTGTAATTGAAACTTAGACTGGGAGGAACGCCTCCCATGTCCTACTTCAAGGGTCAGTGTGTAATCAGGCTTGGCCTGGGTTAATCAGGGAAGGCTTCTTGGAGGAGGTGGCATTTGGGTCGTTATCCAGGGAGAGCAAGATTGTGCGTGCCACGTACGAAATCCTGAGAAAGCTGGAATTGGGGAACGCTGCATCCTGGGGCTAGGGGCAGAGCCCGCAGCATTGTAGGTATGAGATCCTTGTTCTTCCGCTCTCGGCAGAGCTTGGAGGTCCCTAGGGAACACGAGAGCTGGGAGTAATGATGCGCTCTCTACCACAGACATGGCTAAGCCGCCTGCTGCTGCTGGTCTGTCTCCTGGTGAGCAGGGGTGTTACCGAGGAGGTGTCAGAGCACTGTAGCCACATGATTGGGAACGGACACCTGCAGTTCCTGCAGCAGCTGGTGAGTGTGTGGCCGCGCCTATCTACCTTCTCCCCGCTGGGGAAACGGAGGCAGGAACCAGGGAGCAGGGCCAAAGGCAGGGGTTGCAGGCAGAGACATACAGCTGTGCAGGACACGATTCATGGCTCCCACCTAGCTCCGCTGAGGCTCTCCTCATTGACCTTCGCGGGGTCAGGGTCTCCGACCCACCCCCAAGCCTGAAGCCCTCTCTGACTCCCCCTGCAGACAGTGCCCACAGTGCCTAGTGCCTGTTGCCCGGGTTAATGATTGCCTGGAATGTCAACCACGGACTCTGAAAAGGCTGTGAAGCCTGCTGTCCCTCAGTGGGATGCTTCCTCCGGGGCGCCATCCCTGTCTGCCTGCTGTGGCCACCTGTTGCCTCTAACTCCTGGCCTCTCAGATGTGCCCCCTACCTGGCACCAGAGCCACAGTCCCACAGGGAGAAGAGGCTCCCCCCAGCTCCCAGCGCTCCGCCCTCACTTTCGTGGCCCTTGCCTGAGCCCCGGGGCTGGGATGGACAGCTCATCCAGGCCATGAGGGAGCCCGTGCCCTATTCTAATCCGGCTGGCAGAGCTGTCACCGATTCCGAACACGGTCCGGCCAGGCAGAATGAGGTTACCATCATGGCCGCTGTCCTGCTCGGAAGAGAATTTGCCATCCCTCTGGCCAGCCAGGCAGGGTGGAGCACCACTGGCTAAGTAAGGCCAGTTCCAGGGCCCTGACCCCAGGGCTTGCAGGCTGCGCCTCCTGCCTCTCTTACCTCTATACTTTCCTTCCTGCGTGCAGCTCCCAGGTAGAACGAGAGCCGGAGCATTCTCTGAGGCTTACAACCACAGAGCCACTGCTCTGGGGGCGGGGGCTTTAAGCACATCTAACCCCAGCCCCTATAGATCCTGAATCCCCAGAGCTTGTCAAACCTCGACTTGAATTCCTGCCAGGACAGGGAGCTCATTACTTGTCATGGAAGATTATGCCCTGTACCTTCTATTAGCTATTTCTTCCTTATAGCTAACTGGTATTTGTCAGATTTCATGGGAGGTGGGGGTGGAAGGAGGAGACTCCTTGTTCTTTTACAGCCCACCCTGGGCATGTGGGAAGCACAAGGCTTTCCCTCGCCCCTCTCTTTCTCAGTATGGTTGGTGGGGAGGTAGATGAGCATCACAACCTGATCCAGCCAAAGCCTCTAGTTCTCATTCTTAGGCGAGCTCAGTGGAGCTGCTGCCGCCCTGCCACCCCCGACCTGCTCTCTCTCTTACAGATTGACAGTCAGATGGAGACTTCATGCCGAATTGCCTTTGAGTTTGTAGACCAGGAGCAGCTGGTGAGTTACGGTTATGTATAAGGCCCATGTGCCAGCTCTCTATGTCCTTTCCAAGGTGGGTATATGTGGGAGCATGAAGGGAGGAGAAATCCTGTACCCGGGCATGGTGAGGGCATGACGATCCTTGGTGCTCAGGTCTGGGGTGTCAGGGTCCAGAGCTGAGCTGGGTCCAGGCCTCGAGCTCCCTGCTGCTCCCTTCTCCTTGCCCTGGCACATCGAGGCCTTACTATGCACCAGGCACTTTCTAATTTCACCCTGACAGTACAACTATGCAAAATACTAATCTTGGTTATCGTCCTCAGGGAGGTTAAGGGAGCATAGATAGATACTAAGTGGTGGAGGCCTGATTTGAACCCACACAGGGTGGCTCCAGGGCCTAAGGCAAACCAATATGACTTCTGGGTCACATGCTTTGCTTAAGGATGTCATTTCCATCCAACAGACAGAATAGCAGCCAGGGAGTCAGTCCAGCCCTTTCCCTCTTCCTCCTACCCCACACCCAACCAGCCACCAAGTGCGGCTGGTTCTGCCTCCCAGCGGCTCTGCTCTGGGCTCTGCGGGAGCCTCACCCAATCAGTTGCTTAGACAGTTTCAAGAGCCTCCTAAAAGGCCTCCCTGCTGCCAGTGCACCCATCGTCCCGCCATTAGGGGGAGCTCTCGGAACTCCAACCTATTACCTTCATTTCCCTCCTCCAACTCCCCCCCACCACTCCCTCCACCCCCGCCCCTCACTCTTGGAGAAAGCCCAGGTTGGTCAGCTTGGGGTTTACACCACACAGTCAGGCCCACCGCCCCCATTCCCTGCCCCTTCCTGCCTCCAAGCCTTGGCACAAGCCCTTCCTGTCTTGTGATGTCTTTTCAACTGCCCCCACAGCACCCCTTATTCCACACCGGCTCATCTTTGAGCTTCATACAAAAATCACCATGCTATGCCCAAAAGTTGCTCCCATCTCTGAACTTCTGGGCACTTGACCCATATACATGTCTAGTAGAACTGGGGACCGCCTCATGGTCCAAAGAATAACCTCAGTATTTCACTCACTCACTCACGCCTTAACAAGCATGGCAAATTTCCTTAGCTAGAAAATGGTAAGACCGGGTACTAGGAATACAGAGCTAAAGCAGAGTCTCTGTTGAGGCAACACCATCTCTAAGGGACACAAAACACTGATGTTATTCTGTGGATCCTCAGGTGGCCTCTAGTTTCCCCTGTGGCCTGGAGGATTAGAAGGAGCCATGTAGTAAAGAACTTCTTGTGAAAGCAAACCCAAAGAGAGACAGAGCAGTTCCCCAGAATCCACCCTACCTGTGCACCCCCCTTCTGATTAAAGCCTCATCTTCCAGAAATCTGAGGATGTCTCTAATCAGAACCCACATTTCCTTCCCTCTACCCCAAGTTCAGGCAGTTTCAGATCCCAGGAAAGAGAGTGAAAGACCAGTTGAGGTTTGTGCCCCTCTTCTTACTGGGGCGGCATGGCCCTCCCCTCAGGGGATGGGGGCACCTGTCACAGAGCCTAGGTCTGTCGACCACACCAGCCAGACCATAAACTCCAGCTTCTTGTTTTTCAGAAAGATCCCGTGTGCTACCTTAAGAAGGCATTTCTCCTAGTGCAAGACATAATGGAGGACACCATGCGCTTCAAAGACAATACTCCCAACGCCAATGTCATCGTGAAGCTCCAGGAACTCTCTCTGAGGCTAAGGAGCTGCTTCACTAAGGACTATGAAGAGCAGGACAAGGTAGGAGCGTCCTGGAGCCAGGAACACTGAGTAAGAGTAGAGGGTGGCTTTGGTGGTGCCGTCCCTGCCCTTGTGCACAGAGTATATTCACTTGCCTCGCCCCGTGTCATGGTTCACTCTCTCTCATTCATTTATTCACCCCACATACCTCTGCTAAGGACTCGCTGGGCGGGAGACACAATGCTAGGCCTTGACAGTGTCTTCGTGAGGAAAAACTACATGGTCCGCACCTCCGTGGAACTTATGGTTAAGTGAGGCTGGCAACCATTAAACAATGACATATGTAAAGAGAATTACAAAACATGAGGACTCTTCATTCATTCAACAAACACTTAATGAGTGCCTATTGTGTACCAGGTACTGTTCTAGACACTAGGGGTCAAACCAGACAAATACCCATATCCACGTTCGTGGAGCTTACATTTGGCGGGGGGGGGGGGGTGAGATGGTGAACAAAATATACAAGAAAAATGTGTGGTGTGTAGGATGGCAATAAGTGCACTGCTGAAGAGAAAGCCAGGCGAGGGTAGACCTGAGGAGGTGAGGGAGCCCGCGTGAAGGAGGGCTGCATGGGGCTCTGAGAAAGAAACGGCATTCTAATTACAAAGGGCGGTGAGAAACACGAGGAGAAGGCTTCTGAGTAAGAAAATGCTCCCTTGAGATCCAAAGATGAGTAAGAGTTAGGAAGCACTGAGGCTAGTCGGAGCATTCCAGAACAGGGAATGCTAGGCGCAAAGCCCTGAGGTGAGCAGGACACCCTGCGCATTCAGGGCCACAAAGGAAGGGTGGTCGTCAGGAAGTGTGGAAGAGAAGGGGAGAGGGGAGAGGAGGCGGGAGCCAGCAGGGGGCGCATCTGGGCTCTTAGGGATGTGGAATGTCTGAAGTTTGAAGAAGCCTTGGGAAACTGAAGAATGACCTAACCTAACTGCGAGCCCCCTCTCGGAGCCCAGCGGAGAACGGACCGCAGCGGGCAAGAATGGAGGCCGGGAGGCCAGCAGGGGGCGCCATTCCGGGCCGGAGGTTCCAGCGGCTTGGACGGCGGCAGGTGGGGGAAGGCGGGGCGTCGGCCCGGGCGGCGCTGTGCAGGTGGAGCAGGCGGCTGTGCTCGCGGGTCGAGTTCGGAGAAAGAACTCAGGATTTGGTGATGCGGTGGCCGTGAGGAGCGGAGGGAAGGGATGGCTCGAGGACGGTTCTGTCTCGAGCAGTTGGGGGTGGGGGGGATCCGCAGGCAGAGCGGGTTTGGGGGAAGAGCAGGAGCCCAGTTTGGGGCACATGAAACTCGAGACGCTTGGGGGACAGCCAAGCGGAAATGCGGAACAGAAGGCTGATACTCGGGGTCTTGAGTCTGGCTGGCAAGATACTCGTGTAAGAGGAGGCGGCCTGGAGGTCATCTGTGAGGCCAGCGGACTGTAGAGCACAGCCCACTGTGCCCCTGAACCCCGGCACCCAGAAGCCAGGCAGAGGAGGGGACCTGGCCCGGAGACTGGGAAGGAGCAGCCTAGCGGCGGAGGGAAAATCAGGAGGCTGGTTTCACTGGGCTCGTGGAAGAGTGTCACAAGACGGGAAAAGCAGTCACCTTTAACCAACGGGATTGAGAAGCAAGCAGGACGAGGGCAGAAAAGCCTCGGGCGGCCGCGGCAGTGTGCGGGGCTGCTGGAGGCAGGTGCCTGATGGGGATGAACAGGGAGGAAGTGGAGGCAGCGCTGCGGGGCAGGGGGGCTCCGCAAACGCACCGGAACAGAGGTCACCAGAGGGAGTGTGGGATTGCAGGAGGAAACAGTTCTCCCGAGAGGTTATTAAAGCTGGGGTTTTCCAATGTTAGGGTCCGTTAAGGATCACTTGGGGAGCTTGTTTAAAATCCAGATTCCCAGTACGTACTCCTAGGAAGTCTGATTCACTGGGGCTATGGGTGGGCTTGGGCATCTGCATTTTCACAAGCCACCCAGCCTGGGCACCGCCTACACCGTGTGAACGCAGGGGGTGGACTCGAGGAGGGTCGGAGGCTTGGAGGCCAGAGGGGCCAGTGTCCCGGAGAGAAGGCTGGCGGGGTTCTGAGCCCCTGGGTAGAGAAGGCACAGCTGTGTGACAGGTGGGCTTCGGGACCTTCTGTCGGATGGTTGCTGTGTTCTCTATGAAGTGACAAGGTCAGGCATGAAAGAGACAGAGGTTTACGAAGAAAGGAGAGAGAGAGGCTGCTTCCCTCTTTCTTATAAGCAGCCCCGGTGGGCGGCTGGAAGGGATTATAGTTCTGACAGAAGAGGAAGTGAGGCCAAACTGGGTAGGCCACTTGGCCACTGTCACCCAGCTGGTGGGTGACAGAGCTGAGCCCAGGTGTTCTTACGCGTGCATTCATTCATTCATCTGGTCCACATTTATTAAGGGCCTGCTGCTCACAGGCCATGGGCATATCGAGATGCCTTCGAGGACTTCATAGCCTCGTGAAGCTTACAGCTCTTCCCTGTGCAGCTCAGTTTAAGGGAAAACTCGGTATTTGGAAGGCACCGGCAAGTAGACTATGAATGAAGCCCTGGGCACGTGGGGCCTCATCTGGTGTGAAGGGGGAGAGGTGGCAGCCCCGGGGAATGCCAGAATTTGTAAGTCTGGTGGAGGAGGGGAGCCTGGTAAGGAGACTGAAAGGAGCAGCTCAGGAGGTGGGAGGAAAATCAGGAGCGTGTGCAGCTTCTCAGAGCTTCAGTGGGTGAGGGAAGCCGCGGTCCTATGAGCAGAAGAGAAAAGGACAGCTCAGTAGACAACACTGGGGCAGCTTCAGCCCTCCTCCCAAGGCATGCCCATGCCAGAGAAGGACCCACAGCGGCCTTGCTTCATGCCACAGGATGACCCTTCTAAAACTTGGGTCTCACCATGCCACCACCCACCTCCCCACCAACCCCTCGGATGTTTTCTCTTTGCTCCATGAATCAGGTTAGCAGTTTTTGACACAGGCAACAAGGGCCTGAGGCACCTGGCCCTCATTGACCTCTCTCGCCTGCATCCCTTGTCCACTTCTGGATGGCGCTACTATAGCAACTATCGCCGTCTTTTGGTCTTTCCACATTTCAGGCTCTTTCCTGCCTCAGGACCTTTGCACAATCTGTTCCCACCATCTGGACAGCTCACTCCAACCCCACCTCCTTTCCTGGTTGACTCTTGCTCATCTTTCAGCTGATTCCATGAGGAAATCCGCCCCCCACCCTGAGCCCTCATTTGGTTCCCCTTGTTGTACATGCTCAGATCACGCCACACTTATTCATATGACTCCGTGCGCTTGTAACCATGTGTTTAATGCCAGTGCCTTGCTGGAGTCAGTGTCCCGACTCAGACAGTGACCTCTCTCATGCTCATTGCATGATCCCCAGGTAATTACCATATGCCTGGCACATAGATATGTGTTCAGTGGATCTGTGAATAAATGATGTCTCTGGAAATCTCAGGGCTGGATCCACCACAGATCAGGGGCGAGGGGAGGGAGAAAATGAAAGAGAAAAAGAAGACAGACGTGAAAAAGGCCAAGGGAGTTTGGCAAACAAGCAAGAGACATGGCTCGTCCTGACCGAGCAGGGGGGCCCTGCTGTCTTTCCAGGCCTGTGTACGAACTTTCTATGAGACACCCCTCCAGTTGCTGGAAAAGATCAAGAATGTCTTTAACGAGACCAAGAATCTCCTTAAAAAGGACTGGAACATTTTCAGCAAGAACTGCAACAACAGCTTTGCTGAATGCGCCAGCCAAGGTAAGCACCAAAATGGCCAGCGGGTGCGGGTCAAGGGGAGGGTGTAAGGAACAGAGCAGGGATCGGAGGCGAGGTGTGGGGCTGGAGGGACCCTGGGGAGGCAGCCCGTCTGCAACGCATGCTCCTGTGTGTGTAGATGTGCTTTTCTCGTGTGCACATGTGGCTCCCTGTACCTCCGGGTGGTCCCGGGCACATGTCCGTTCTGACATGTGTGTGCATGCACACCTACATATGTCTGCATGTTGAGGCATCAACAAGGATCGTGCTGGTGACTGCGAACTTAGGGAATGGGCAAGGGGCCCCTCTCAGAGAGCCCTGTAGGCAAGGAGGCTCTGCTGGCTGGCTGAATGCACAGAGGGTTCCATGGAGAGAGCAAGGCTCCGTCGGGAGCCAGGGCCCTTGCTCCAGGAGCCCTGCTGTCAGTCACCAGGATACCCTGGCTCCGGAAGTCCCCAGGACGCCTTGAATGTCCCCTCAAGGGAAAAGGCTGGATTTGAAGTCTGAGCGTCATTCAAACTCTCCCAGTGCAGACCCAGCTGCACACACGTGTACCCTACGTGTCCTCGTCTCTGCGTCCCCGTGCCACGTGTGCCCTCCTACATTCAACCTTGCTCCCCGAGGCAGGAGCTGAGGCCCCGCGGCCTGCCAGTGGCCAAGTCCAGTCTCGTTGCTTCAATCCCAAGGCCTCGAGTCATGGCTATGTTCCAGCCCCAGCTTGTTCCCGCCTGTGGCTGTGGCTGTGTGGCCCCTGGCTGTGCATGAAACCACCTTGCTGCTTTCCGACTAGCACTGCCTATGGGACTTGAGGGTGTCTTGTGTTAGTCTTCGAGGCCACTGCTCAACCCCCCAGCCAGCTGCTGCTCAACCCTGGCTTGGCACCTAGCCAGCTGGAACTCCAGGAAAAGCTGGTCCCTGGTCTTCCCTGACCCTGGCCCCCAGTCTGTCCTCTAAACCCCACTCTTTGCTTTCTGCCTTTGAGATCCTGCAGTCCGTACCTTCTCTGCCTAAGGCCCGTGTCGTGAGCACTGGCCCCGGTCCTGTCCTCTCCTTAGCCCCTAGCTGAGCGATTAGGGGATGAGGGGCCCCGCCCCCACATTCCCCTCTCAACCCCCTCCCCTCCCCCCCTCCCCAGGAAACCTGTGCTGGAGGCTGGTGACTCTATCTCTTCCCCATCTTTCTCTCTCCCTCTCTCTGTGGTTCTTTCAGATGTGGTGACCAAGCCTGATTGCAACTGCCTGTACCCCAAAGCCACCCCTAGCAGTGACCTGGCCTCTGTCTCCCCTCAGCAGCCCCTTGCCCCCTCCATGGCCCCCATGGCTGGCTTGACCTGGGCTGACTCTGAGGGGACAGAGGGCAGCTCCCTCTTGCCCAGTGAGCTGCCCCTCCGCACAGTGGACCTGGACCCGGGCACTGCCAAGCAGCGACCACCCAGGAGCACCTGCCAGAGCTTTGACTCTCCAGAGCCCACGGGTGTGGAGGCCAGTCCCATCGGGGATTCGCCTCAGCCCCAGCCCTCTGTCGGGGCTCCCGTCCCTGGGACGGAGGACACGCTTGACTCCGTGTTGGGCACTAACTGGACCCCGGAAGAGGCCTCCGGAGAAGCCAGTGAGGGTCCCGTACCCCAAGGGGCAGAGCTTTCCCCCTCGAGGCTGGGAGGAGGCAGCACCCAGGCCAAGACGACCGCCAGGCCCAGTGACCTCTTGTCAGCATCTTTCCCACTGTCCCACGCAGCCAGGAGCCAGCAGCCAGAGGACACGCCTGGCATCCCCCTGCCCAAGGTGGGCCCTGCGAGACCCACTGGCCAGGCCCAGAGTCACACACCTGGGAAGACAGACGGTCCATCTGCCCCGGCCAGAGACCACCAGGAGCCAGGCTCTGCCAGGACCCCGTCACGGCCTCCACGAAGCCTCGGCAGCCCCTCGGCCCTCTCTGCACGGCCCAGCCCTCCCGGAAGGCGCTCCTGGGACCCCGTGCCGCCCCTCAGGGAGCTGGAGGGCAGAAGGAGCACCAGGGACCGGAGGAGCCCCCCCGAGCTGGAAGGACGAGCGAGTGAAGGGCGCAGGCCCTCAGCCCGCTTTAATTCCGTCCCTTTGACTGACACAGGCCATGACAGGCAGCAGGAGGGACCCCCTGACCCTCAGCTCCCCGGGTTTGTCTTCCGCCTGCTGGTGCCCAGCATCATCCTGGTCCTGCTGGCCGTTGGCGGCCTCCTGTTCTACAGGCGGAGACGGCGGGTAAGGAGAGCCCCTGAGAGAGGAGGGCCCGTCACGGGGGCAGGGGCACGGCCTGGGCGGAGGAGCAGGTCGGGCAGGTCAGAGGATCACTTGGGCTCTGCCTGGGTTCCTCAGATGCCAAGACAGGAGGCCAGCTGAGCACCAAAGAGGGGCGGTTGAAATGGAGGGTTTGTGCAAAAACGGGGGAGACCAGGCTACGAGGTCAACGGGAAGGGACCCAGAGAGAATATTCTTGGGCCGGGAGTGGGAAGAGAACCGGCCGTGAGGGGAGCTAGCAGAGGAAAGTGATGTCGCACGAAGGTCAGGGCCTAGCGTTCACCGGGAGCTCTGCCCCATGTACAAGTCATGGTGCCCAGGGCACTGGACCCCTGAGATAGGAGGCAGCCTGCATGGGGAGAGGAGATGGGGCATCACAGCAGGAGGCCCCAGGTAGCCCTCCTGGCCTGCGGCTGACCCCCACATCAGGGAAGCTGGGGGAGACTTGGACACATCTCTCCTCTATTCCCCTGGGCAACCCTGCCCGGGAGTGAGGCCACAGTCCCCACACTGTCCCCCAGCTCCTCAGGGAGCCTGATCTTTACTGTCCGTCCGCAGAGCCATCGAGAGCCTCAGACAGTGGATTCTCCCCTGGAGCAACCAGAAGGCAGGTGAGTGTTTACAAGGGGGGTTGGGGGCTCTGGAAGGCACGAGGGGGCCTGTCTTGGCATCTGTTTCCCCTCCAGATTTGAGGGAGACTTCCTTTCACTTGCTCTGAGGAAACGGAGCTCAGAACAGGATGGGAGGCAAAGAGGCGGAAGGGCGTTTCTTCTTTTCCTGTACCTCTGGGATTTTTCCCGACTTCTCCTTAGGGTCAGGCAGTTCTGAGTCTTCTCAACCGGAGAGGGCTGGAGCGCACATGTGGGGGTTTGGTGGACAAACCATAGGGGTTCCCTCGCTCCTCAGCCTCTGCTGAAGTCTTATGCCAGCCCTGTGCTCTGCCCACAGCCCCCTGACTCAGGATGAGGACAGACAGGTGGAGCTGCCGGTATAGAGGGGTTTCTAAGGTAAGACTCTGATTTGGATCTCTCTCCAGCCCTTAAAATGAGCTACCCTCCTTTCTAATCACCCTATGGTTCTAATCACCAACTGCCCTGAGGCCCGCACGTGACTCCCTCCACTCCTAACTCCCTTTTCCATCCGTCGTGTCACCGTATCTTGCCAACCGTCTCCTTTTGAGGTCCTCAGGTCTCTGCACTGCCCCTCCATTCCCCCCACCCCCACCATCTGAGGCCAGGCATTGGGTTATGATTTCTACATTTGGCTTATAGTCTTTGCTGCCACCTTCCATCCCAGAGCATCCAAAATCTTCTTGTCCGTAGTCTTTACCCTCCTGGGGAATTTGCATCGCCAGCCACTTCAAACCTAATGCTCTCCACTTGGCTCCCGGGCCCCTCCAGCAGCTGCCCCTAGCAGGCGCCTCTGGCCAGCTTTCTATCTGTCTGCACCCTATTCAACCCTTCCCCTAGCCAAGATCATTTCTATATCCCTGCTTTTAGATTCCTGGACCCATCGAACCTTAGTCTTAGAAAGGCTCTCAGCGGTCATTTGGCCAGTGTCCTACCCTACAGGGGCCTCCCCCGACAGGGGTCAGCCAGCTGCTGGTCCCATACTCCCAGGCCCAGACAAGCTCCCTGCCACCTCCCAGGAGCACCGTGAGGAAATCCTTCCTCAAGCGAGCTTCCCTGCCTGCTCCACGATGGTCCTCCCTCCTATTCTCATGAGAGCCCTCCAGTGTCTCAAGTCAGTTATCCATGTGCCCTGTAAGGATTCTCTGAGCAAAGTGTGGCGCAGGCCCCTCAAACGTCCCTTATGTGATGTGGTTTTCGGACCCCTCAGCATCCTGGTCGCCCTCCTTTGGACACACTCGTTTGTCAATGTCCCTCTGAAAAATGTGGCACCCAGCCCTGGACACAGTGCTCCAGATATTGTCCGACCAGCTCAAAGTACAGTGAGACTGTTAACCTTCCTTGATCTGGACACAGTTCTTCTATTCGTGCAGATTCAGATCGCATTAGTGTTTGGGGGTTTTGTTTTTGTTTTGTTTTTGAACAGCTGCATCATACTGTTGCCATTTGTTAGGCTTGTGGTCTATTCAAACCCCCGGTTCCATTTCCCGTAAACTTCCGGCAAGCCAGGCCTTCTCTCCTGTGCTTGGACAGCGTAGTGGTTTAACCAGGGTGCAGGAGTTTATGTTCGTCCTTGGTAAAACCACCTTGTTGGTGTCTGCCCGTCACCAGAGCCTCCTGAAATTGTTTCAAGTTCTAGTTCTGTCTTCATAGTCCTCCCAAGTGTGTCTCCTGCACATTGATGAGCGCCTTCTGTTGTCTTCACCCACGTTGTTGATAAAGACGTGACCCTTATCATTCCCCGGCCCCGGTGCCCCGATTCCAGGCAGCGCCCACCACCTCCCGTCCCTCCTGATTGTCTCCACCGCCCGCAGGTTCCTCTTCAGTTCCCACCCTTCTGCTCTTTTGTATTTGGTTAATACTATATCAATTTGCACTTACTTGGATGTGGTGTTTGTACATTTTTAAAATCTTATTGTATGTGTGTGTGTGTATGTTCCACATCCCTAAGAAGGCTGTAAGCCCCCTTGAGGGCAGGGACTGTGTCTTCCACTTTTTTTGCATTTCTCTTTCTGTCCCGTGTTCTAACACAGAGAGGGCCCCTCCACACCTGCCAAGAACTCAATAAATGTTAACTGATTGGCTTCAGGGTTGACTGACCACCTGACCCTGGCCAGCTGTCCCTAACCAACCAGTCTTCTGGATGACCAGTTAACCAGCTAACTAATCGACTCCAGCTGACTGGCTGACCAGCTGGCTAGGTGACTTTGATCAACTGACTAGCTGGTAACTGCTTACCGGGCTGGTGGTTGGTTGGTGAGCTGCCTGCCTAACTAACTAGCTGGCTAATGGCCTGATTTGCTGATTGGCTCACTGGCTGACTAGCTAGGGCAACCCATTCAAGTTTCCAGTCACACCCCATGCCAAATACAAGTGAGCGCCTTAGGGCCTTCCCATGGGTACAGTGACAGGTCTGGGCCACTCCTCAAAGAAAAGGGATCTAACGAATGCTCAAAATCAAGGGAGCCTATTTAGAAGACAGCACGAGAGAACACATCTGGAATCCCGGGGTCCCCCTTCTTGGTGGGGCGGGCTGAGATGGGTGAGCGGGGACACTGGCCGGGCTGTGAGGATGACCCAGACCCCCTCGAGACTGGTAAAGCAGAGGAGGACTCGAGGTCCCTGGGGACTCCGTGGCTCAGTGCTGGACCACGCTCGGACTGGTTGCCAGCCTCCCACCTTGGTCTTGGCCCTCTGCCCCCCTCTCCTCTTCACTCCTACTCTGCTTTCCCTGCCTGCATGTTCTCAGGCCCTGCCAAACTTTCCTCTTCCTCCCCTCAAGATTTCATTTAGAAAGGGAACCCAGGGCAAGGACCACAGCCCTGGTTCCTGATCCCACCGCTTGGATCAGCAGGTCCAGCCTAAGCCCCAGGAGCCTCAGGAGTCAGGGCCAGACCCTAGACTACCTGCCACTCCGATGAAAGAGAGAAAACACAGAGGCAGAGAGACTGAGAGAGGGCTGCTCAGAAAGAAACCACAGGCACTCTAAGGAATCAGGACATAGGGGCAGGGGACTCACCCACCTGGTCTTTCTCCCCTCCCTCCCAGCCCCAGCTGGGTCTGAGACCTGGCTGTGCCCATCATGGCTCCTGTCCAGTTTCTGGTTCTCACCTCCGCGCCCCCCCCCCCCCCCCCCCCCCCCCCCCCCCGCAGAGCATGGGAATGGGCTCGAAGCCAGAAGCTACGGTCCCATCTGCCCTCCTTGTCTGTCAGGGACTTTGCCGTAGGGTTTATGGGTGGTTAGGGAGCTCCACACAGGATCCAAAGTTGGATGGGGTCCAGGGGATTTCTGCTCTGGGAACAAAGCATTCTGAGGATGCTGGGCAAGGGACAAGGATGGGGGTGGGGGTGGAGAGAGCAGGGCCCTGGCTCCTGTGGATGATCCAGGGAGGCAAGTCCCTCAGCCCATCAGGAAGGAGGCCTGGTTACTTGGGGGACAGCATGCCAAGTGGCAGGGTGTGAGTTTCCTCGTTCCGAAAGTGCATCTAGTTCTTCCTCTTGGTGCCTATGACCTGCTGTTCCGAGTGTCGATCATCATGTGGGATGACCCTCTGTGATGAGCGGTGTGGAGGTGGGAGTGAGCAATTCTTTGCTCGAATCGGCAGGAATCGTTGGTTCGTTGGCCCAAGGCCCGGGAGCTCGTCTTGCCTGAGGGGAGGTCTCAGGACCCTCAAGTGCCCCCTCCCCTCCCTGTCGGACTGCTCTCCCTAAGCAGCGGCCACCGCCCTCTCCTGGTCCTGCTCAGGCCTCTACCAGGCCCCTTACCTCCCCCTGTGCTCCCTGGCTCCCCAGGAGGAGGTAGGAGGTGAGGCCAGTCTGGTCGGAGGCTTGGACTTCTGCCAGGAAAAGCCACCCTGTCCTTTGCGGTGTCTGGGGCGGCTGGGCAGGCGAGGGAGAGGACGGGAGGAGGTCCTGCCTGTAGCACCACCGACAGCCCACAGGAACGCTGTGTCTCCCCCGCCCATGTCCTCAGCGACCCCTCCCTCCACGCCCCATCGGCTGACCGGCCTTTCTTTCTTTTTCTTTTTCTTTTTTTTTTTTTTTTAATGTTTTATTTATTTCTAGGAGAGAGAGAGAGACAGCGTGAGCAGGGGAGGGTCAGAGAGAGAGGGAGTCACAGACTCCGAAACAGGCCCCGGGCTCTGAGCTGGCAGTCAGCACAGAGCCCGACGCGGGGCTCGAACCCACGAACCGCGAGATCATGATCTAAGCGAAAGTCGGACGCTTACCCGACTAAGCCACCCAGGCGCCCCATGACCGGCCTTTCTTTCTGTCTCCCTTGCAGCCGGGCGCACAGGACCGTCTCTCCACGGGACAAGACATGGGGGCATCCACCACCACCCGTCCGCAGCCGTTCTCCTCGCAGTGTGGCCTGCCCACCACACGAGCTCCAGAGCAGCGAGGCTGGGGTCCCTCTGCCCTCGACCCTCAGACTCTGGACTGACCAGGAGAGGGCTGGAGGATGCCCTCCATGCTGCTGATATTTATCGTGGGCCCTGGTGGCTCCCGTCCACTGGGGGAAGGCTGGGAAGCTCGGCTGAGGACCCTCCGCGCCTCAGGGGCTGTGTCCTCCTCCTACTCCCCTCCAAGCCACGCCTGGGCCAGGGACCCAGATGCCTGTAAGACGTGGGAGAGCAGGGTGGGCACGGAGGAATGAACGAGCCCTTGTGCCCAGAGGACTGCCTGGTGCCTAGGGATGCCAGCACGACAAGCAGGAACTTGTCTCCGGTGAGAGAAGCATGAGATTGGCAGGGCGGGACAGCGTCGCTGGATTTCTCGGAAAGGTGTGCAGCCCAAGAGATGGGAAGAGAAGGCCTCTGGGCCTGTGGGTCTGCACTGGCGGCCCAGGTGCCCTCTGCTGGCTGCCAGGCAGAGAGGGAGGCCGACCCTGCCCTCAGGACCTGTCCGGCTTGGCTCCAATGCCAAGGGGAAGACCGAGCTCTGGTATCTGGCCCCGTTTCCCTCCAGCCCTGCCAGAGCTTCTCCGGGAGGCTGCGCCGAGGCTCCCCTCACGAAGGAAGCCATTGCACTGTGAATACTGAAGCTGCCTGCTGACCAGCCTGCGCCGTCCGACCCTGTGAGCGGGCGTCGGTCCGTCCTCCTGCCCCTCCAGCCTCTCGCCAGCTTCCCGCACTGAGTGCCCGAGCCGGCCCTTGCCTGTCGACTGAGGGCGCCCCTAAGCCCTGACCTTCCGCTGACCCAGCTTCGACTCCCCGGGGTGGATGGGGTGGGAGAACGGCCTGGGCTTGCCAGCCGGAGCGGGTCTTCAGGCTGCGTCGTTCGCCCAGGTTCCTGCATCTTGCACTTTGACATTCCCAGGAGGGAAGTGACTGGGGGCGGGCGGGCAGGGAGGGCAGAGGCAGACCCAGAGGGAGGCTGCGGGGTGAGCTCCCGCTGAAAATGGGTCTTTGCAGTTATGGGTATACCGTGGGGGGAGGCGTCTGCTCCCCGATCCCCCCTGCCCAGTCTGCTTCCCCGTATCACGCCCCCCCATCGCAGCAGGGCTGTGCTGGGGGGGCACCCCGGCTGTCCCTGTGGAAGCCCTAACGCTGGGTTTGCTCTCCGGCCTCGCAGCACGGCCGCCAGCTCCCATTCTCTCCCCACCCTCTCGTCCCCCACCTGGGTAGGCAGCGATGCCCCCAGCTCTCACCCCTATACTGTCTCTCGAGCCCAGGCCAGCCAGGGCAGGAGGGGGACCAGGAATCTGCTTCCAAATTTGTCTTAAGGGCCTCAGCTTCCTGAACCAGCCCATGGCTGCTGCTCTGAGAACTGGCAGCGGGTGACGGGGCTGCCGATTGCCCTCGGTCCCTCCTCTCCTGCTGCCCTGGGCCTTCCACTGAGAGACCCCACCCTTCCTGGCCCCTGGGCAGAGGCCCATGACTTTTCTTCCTGCCCTCAAAAGTTGGGGTCTGCTGGTCCCCACCGCCCCTGCCCTGCTCTCTCAGCTGAAGGACGAACAGCGGGGAACGTGCCCTGTAGGGGCTCCTTCTAGTCACAGACTCTGTATTTGATTCTAGAGAGTATGTATTTAAAAGGGAAAGGGAAAAAAAAAACCCACAGAAAAAAGGCATTCCTCCCTCACCCCAAACACATAGTATTTTGAAAGTCAAGAAAGCAAGTCCAACTGCTTGCAGAAGCTCTTTGTGGGCGCGTGGTGACACAGGTGCGGGAGGGGCCCCGGACCTCTGGGCGCCTCCCCCGGCCGCCTGCACACGAATCCCTTCTTTGAGAAAGCCGAGAGGGAACATTGGCTCACACACTGTGAGATTTTGTTTTTATACTTGGAAGTGGTGAATTATTTTATATAAAGTCATTTAAATATCTATTTAAAAAATAGGAAGCTGCTTATATATTTAATAATAAAAGAAGTGCACAGGCTGCCACGTGTGAGTCATGGGAATGGTGCTTTTGGGGTGTGGGTGGCAAACACGGTGGGGGGGAGGCAGCAGCTGCTGGGGGAGCCTCAGCTCAGAAAGCTTTTTCCAGGATACGTGGGGAAGGAGGGTTCTCTCCAAGTCCCAGTCTCGTTATCAAACCTTCCCACATTGTTGTTGCCCCAAACACATGCATCGTGGACCTGTTTGATGGGAAAGTAGACAGAAACCAGCCAAACCTCAGGCCTGGCCAGTGGCCCCTGCTCCAGCCCAGCCTCACCCACCCCAGGAAAATGGCTAGCTGGGCTCCGTCCAAGGTCCCCAGGCCTGCAAGGACCAGGCTTCTTGACCACTGACCCCTGATGTCCAGCGGGGGGCCGGGATCTCCGTCCTAGCAGGGCTCAGGTGGTTGAACGCTGCCTCGACTGGGAAGCGGGTGAGGCCGGCACGGGGCAAGCCAGCAGGCTGCGCGAACGGTCTTAGGCCCTTCTTCCTGGGTATTGTGGCCTTAACTGGGGGAGTGGTGTTGGGGAAAGCCAGGTGACTAAAGGCCCAGCACAGCCCACTCCCCCGAAGTAACCCTGTGAAACAGGGCCTCCCCAACTGTGAGAGTGAAGTGGACAAAGTTTCAGATCAGTGGCTCTCAACCCGAGCTCACCTGAGAAACACTTGAGTTGTTTTCAAAAACATACCCAAGCCCCACTCTAGATCAACAAAATCAGAATTGCAGGATAAAGGCTCTGGCGCCGGGCATCAGAAGTTTTGAAAGGCATCTTAAGTGATTCAAATGTGATCCAGGGTGAGAAGCACACAGAGGTGCGTTGTCTGACATGGCGACTGAGTTGAAATTACTCGCTACGAAATAAATGGAAGCATCCAGTTCTTCAGTCATGCTGGCCACATTTCAAAGGCTCACTAGCCACACACGTGGCTACCATGTTGGATGGCCTAGAAACAGAACATTTGCACCATTGCAGAAATCTTATTGGATAGTGCTGACCCCAACGTTGGGTCCCTACACTTAGGGGACCAAGGTTATAAGGCCAGACTGTCCCCAAAGAAACTTGGCCGGGGACTAAGTTCCCAGGCATCTCTGTCATCCCTCTTTATACCCTTAACCTCCACTACCACCCTATCCCTCGTCATTTCTCTTAAGCATTTCCTATCATTTATGAACAGCTCCTCAGAAAAGACTTTTGAAACTTATTCATATTTTTTCCTCCAAGGCCCAGCTTAAAAGTCATCTCCTCTGAGAAGCCTTCTCAGCCTGACCCAGGTCCCAGAGGCCCACCCAACCTTAGTTCCTTCCTCCTCTGTGCTCCCACAGACTGAGAGCCTGTTAATGGGTCTGTCTGTCCCACCAGGCCGTGGACTGTAGAAGGCACTGGGCTGCAGCCCTCTCTCACCCCAGCGCCTAAGAGTATCTGGCACATAATGGAGGAGGGCACTTGTGGGGATGAGCACTGGGTGTTATATGGAAACCAACTTGACAATAAACTATTTGTAAAAAAAAAAAAATTTAAAAAAATGAAGATAAATGAAACATTAAAAAAAGAGTATCTGGCACATAGTAAGTGTTCAATAAATGTGTGTCAAAATGTTAATACTGAATATGTGAACGAAGGCATAATAATGCAAATTCTAACCAGAGTTCATGGGTGCCCTTTTCTAGGGCCTCACTGGTATTAACCAGCATTATATACCGGATAACTATACTAATTCATTAGCCAAGCAGAGGAGGGACTTTCAGCAGAAGGTTCTCCCTGGCTGCTGATGGAGATGAGGTTATGTTAGAACCCTAACCAATCTCTGGGCTGTGGATGGAATGTATCCTTCAAAGCAAGGGTTGACAAAACAAACAAACAAAAAACAACACAAAAGCAAAAACAAAACCAAACAAAAATCCCTGCCTCTCACCTGCCTTTCCAGAAGCCCCAGGAAGTATCCAGAAAGAAAGGCCAGGGAACCTCAGCAGGCTTCTCCCAGGTCTCACATGCTGCCGCGGCTGCTTGAGATGGGTCCTCTCTATGGAACAATAGTCACTTTGGATTCAGAGTAAGAGCATTTAGGCAGTTGGCTTGGATCTCTCATTGCCTAATGGTACAGACTTGGGCAAGTATTTAACCCCCCTGAACCTCGGGTTTCTCCTCATCCTTCTGGTGTCAGAATACAAGCCAGGTGTACATGGTCTGAGGGGACAAACCACAGAGCACCAGGTGGGCTCCAAAGGGCTGTCCCCAAACAAAGTGTGATCTGATGCTGCCTTTGCCAAGTGGTCCTGGGGGCCCAGGCTGAACATAGCTCCATTCTGGGCAGGCAGCGGGGAGCCGGGATGCTCCCAGGGCCCAACTTTCCTCAGGTTATTTCCCACCCGGGTGAGGATTCAGATACCATGTAGCTCAAGACCTTCTGACTGGAGGCAGGAGACAGGCTGGAGACCCAGGGGGAAAGTGGCCCTGGAAGGCACTGGGTGCCCGTTGGCAGGCAGGGTCAGGAGCTCTGTCTTCGAGCATGTGAGCAGAAGGGCCCAGCCAAACCCCAAACCATTATCCGGCCAGAGACAGGAAAGTGAATCAGAGACGACCAGGAAGAAGCCTGAGGTTAACCTCGTGTGGACTGCTGGCCACGGCAAGGAAGGAGCTGGTAGGGGCCTGGGGGCTGGGTGGGCGTCTGACGACCTCTTGAACAAGGTGCTAAAGTCGTGAAGGCGTGGGCAAGGCCTGCCGGGCAGCCGTGAGGAAAGAGCCCACGCTCCGCTCCTCCAAGGAACTGCCCCTCTGCCGGAGCAGCACTTTTGTCCCCTGGCTTCTCACTGCAGTTTCTGGGAAGGGGGGATGACCAGCCTCTGCTGGCCGGGACGCTGGGACTGCTGAGGGAACAAGGTGGACCATGCCAGCCTGGGAAGCCCCAGGGCAAAGTGACCAAACCACAGAAAGGCTCACTCTGAGGCCTGTAGGGGCTGTGGCTGCCGTGGCCCCGTCTCCGGTTTGAGACCATGAGAAGGCCCACAGGTTGACCCCCATGCCCTGTCCGGGGTCCACACTGATGCAGCTCTGGGACTGGGTGACAGTGGGGCAGGAGAGGTTACAGCTGGGGTGGTGAGGGGTGGGGGTGGAGGAGGCTGGGTCAAGGGAGTTGTTGAACCAGCTTCTGGAGGAGAGCTGGGTGAGAGCCCCATGCTGGACGCCAGCCACTCCAGCCCCCAGGCCCCAGCCCTGGTTGGAAGTCCTGGACACCCATCCCAGACACCCTGCTCTTTAGTCTCTTAGTGTGTGTGCACCTAATGAGGTCTGTGAAGGCCAGAGCCTCAGACCCATTTATTCGTTCATTTCCCTGTCTATTGCTAGAAACCCAGCACAAGATTGTGAGCCAAAGAGTCAGTGAGGGAGATAGGTATTAGTCAGTTACACAAGTAAGTGTATAATTATAAAACTGAAACAGAGATAGGAAGACACAGGCGCTTATACAGAGCTTATAACAGAGGACCTGGCCAAGGACGCAGGGCCGTGCAGGCCCTTAAGAAAATCAAAGCAGAGGAAGTCATAGAGGAAGAATCTTCTTTATCCAATGCTGCCAACAAGATGAATAGTTTTCATGGACTAATTGCCTGGTATGGGTGAGGCACTCTATAAAAATACCATCTCATTCCCTCCTATAATAGTCCCGTGAGTGGGTGCTAATATTCTCTTTTATAGATGTAGAAACTAAGGTTTAGAGATACTTAAAACTTGGTCAAGGTCACAGCAGGTGGTAAGCGGCAGAGCCTAGCTTTGAACCCGTCTGGCTGTTTTCAAAGCCCATGGTCTTGTCGCATCACACTCTGCTATGCATTTAACAGATGCCTCTTACACAAATGGACACTTCAGGCCTGTCTGGCAGGCTTTGAGGGCTCCCAGCTTTCTCCTTCTTCTTTCCCTCAGCAGGATTGTTTAGTCCAGCATTGGGCAGAGGACCTGTGACAGATTCCTACTCAGATTCACACTCGGCCCTGCTGCTAATCCTAAATTCACCAGGAAGAGAGGAAGGGCCTCTCCAGGGTGATGTGCCTACCACCTGGGCCTCTGGGAAAGGCCCTTCCTGACTGCCAGCCCCTCCACTGACTCCCTTTGGCTGGGTCCTTTATGACACATGTGCTTTCTCCCTGACTACCCATTGGGCATCTCCCAGCTCCCTGGCTGATTTTTAGCCCAGGAGATATCTGCCGACAAGCTTTGGTATTATTCTCATTTTGCCTGATCCAGGACACTGGGAATTTCTCACCATACAAGTAGGCAGATCCCCAGAGGAGGTTGTCATAGGCTGCAATGGCACGAGCAAGGCTGAATCAGGATCACTGAGTGTGACATCTCCAGGTTCAACATGCTCTAGTGTCTGGGGAGACAGGGAATGACTGAGAACAGGACCCTGCTGCCTATATTTGAGGGAGACTGAAAGAGGCATCATTATCAGAGTGCACTGTAGGCACTCAATCCACATTGGTTCTCCTCAGATCAGCTCCATGCCCACATGCGAGAGGCTCTGTCTATCTATTCTCCCAGAGAACATGCTCCATCTTGAAGAAATTTTGGCCAAAGGCCTATGCTATGTCTGGAGTATTCTTCTATAGCAGCGACAACAGCAAACTCTGGGGAGGGAGTAGAAATTTAATTTCCACGGGCACCTGGATGGCTCAGTCAGTT